TAATTTGAAATATATAAAAGTGTGGGAGTGCCTTGCTAAAGTTCTGTTGCCTGAACCTAAAAAGAGAAAATTAGGTTCTAAAACTGCTGATTGTATGCTGAACACAGTGTTGAATATAGATTTCTTGTTTTAAAAAGTGATGTGCTTGATTGCAATAGTATAATTGAAATAAAGAATGCTAAGTTCTTTGAATATATTTATCTACTGTCTGATAAAATTTCTCATACACCTCTTAAAAAAAATAGAGAAATTACCTCTAATGAGGAACTGAGATGGAGTAAAAGGCCTAGGAAAGAATATTTTTCTTATGTAAATGTGTATATGGTCAAAATTAGGGAAGACCTATTTTAAGATTTCTATGGCGTTTCGAGCCCGGCCTCGGTGTGCTCGAATCACATTCCAAGGCTCGTCCCAAAGAACTCGCCTCGAGAGGGTATATTGAAGACTCATCACGGCGTACTTCGAGGTAGTATGAAAATCGACGACAGCCGTAAAAAGGTGGGAAACTCCCGAGGACAAGTGATCAGAATTGACAGAGTCTGTATAGACAGTACAAGCCCGTACAAGTCTGTTACATAGTTGTACCAATAGCATTTCTCTGTCATGATTAGACTGTTGGGGATGATATTATTTGCTGGGGATGATATTCCTGTTGGGGATGACATTCACCCCTCCTATATAAAGGGGACCCTGGTCATTTTGGAACACACATGAATATTCAATACAATAGAACATTCTCTGCTTTTCTTGCCTAAACGTGCTCAACAATTACTTTACAGATTTATTACTTATTCATTTATTGTTCATTACTTGTTCTTCATTTATTTCCCATTATCAATCATTAAAGGCAGCCCTCGACGTCCTATATCGCTGAGCTCGAGGCCCTTAACCTTGTGACCACACTGGTTTGCTTATCATTTCTTGCTCATTTACACTTGGCATTATTCACATAACAACTAGTATTAAGATAAATCACGTATTTTAGAACCACAAATCAAATATAATTGCTATTACCATTTTTCAAGGTAAACAGTTTGGCACCCACCGTGGGGCTAAAAATAATAGTGATTGTTTTGGTGCTAGTTTTCTGATAACAAATATTATTTTTTACACTTTTTCTTGTCTAAGATTCTTTGATTTTAGGCTTAATGCGGACTGTAATATAGAGTCATTGTCTAGCACACAAAATGCACCCCTTCATGACAGTGAAGGAATTGGAGAAAATAGCAGCATAAGGCTTGGTGTACCACCTGTAAACCTTGAGGGAGTGCCAAACGTGGAGCCAGTTGATATCAGCTCCCACAACGCTCTGGACACGGAAGCAGGCGCATACCTCATAAAGAATGGACGCAGGGAAGCCCAGGCTGGAGGCCAAGAAGCACGAGGAATGGAAGAAGGAGGAGTCAGCCTCCAAGTGATATTCGAGATGCTGCAAGCTCAGCAAGTCGCCATCGCTCAACTTCTAATTCAGAACAGAACTCCTAACACCGACGAACCAGTAAACATGCAGCACGAACCAGTGCTAGAAAGACCCGATGAAAGAGGCTCGGGGACTGACCCTAGAATCATGAAAATGCTTGAGGAATTGACTAAAAGAATCGAGTCAGGAGAAAAGAAGATATAGGCTAACGATAAAAAGGTGGAGACTTATAACTCGAGGGTCGATCAGATCTGGGCGCACCCCCAATTCTAAAAGGTGTAGATTCAAAGAAGTTCGTGCAGAAACCATTCCCATCGAGTGCGGCTCTGAAGCCCATCCGAAAAAAATTCAGAATGTCCGACATCCTAAAGTATAACGGGACCATAGACCCCAATGAGCACATTACAGCTTATACTTGTGTTGTAAACGGGAATGACTTAAAGGACGACGAGATTGAATCCCTCTTGCTAAAGAAATTTAGAGAAACACTGTCGAAGGGGGCCATGATGTGGTATCACAACCTACCTCCGAACCTCATAGATTCGTTTGCCATGTTGGCAGATTCTTTTGCGAAGGTACATGCAGGTGCCATCCAGGTCACTACAAGGAAGTCCGATGTCTTCAAGATCAAATAAAGGGAGAATGATATGCTGAGGGAATTTGTATCTCGCTTCCAGATGGAACGAATGGAATTACCACCGGTTTCCAATGACTGGGTAGTGCAAGCTTTCACTCAGGGCTTGAACGAGCAAAGCTCGATAGCTTCGAAATAGCTAAATCAGAACTTGGTCGAGTATCCCTCCGTAACGTGGGTAGATGTACATAACAAATATCAATCGAAGATCAGGGTCGAGGACGACCAATTGGGAGCCCCCTCTGGCTTAGTATATCCAAACAGGCTCCTAGCAAAGGAACCAAGGCCTACAGAAAGGGAGTTGAGATCAGGCAAAGAAAGGTATCAGCCATATTTCAAAGATTTAAGAGACACTTCGAGGCGGAATATACCTCGAAATGATCGAATAGTAGATCAAGGCCAAAATTCCCTAGGACATATGAGCAAGACCGGGTTTGACAAGCATTCGAGGTAAGTGGAGGCACCCCGATTGTCAAAATACAACTTCAACATCAATGTCTCAGACATTGTATCAGCCATGGGTAGAATCAGGGATGCCAGATGGCCAAATCCCGCATAGTCAGATCCTGCCCGAAGGAACCCCAACTCGATGTGCGAATACCATGGCATTCATAGTCATAGGACTGAGGATTGTAGGCAGCTCCTAGATGAGGTTGGCCAACTGATCAACGAAGGGGACCTTCGAGAATTCCTCAGCAATCGAGCCAAGAATCACTTTTAAGAAAAAGAGGCCAACGGAAAGAATGGATTAGTACACATGATTGTTGGAGGAACCGACGTTCCACAGGGACCCATGTTCAAACAAGCCAAAGTGTCCATCGTAACAGAAAGGCAAACTGGGAGCTATATACCCAAAGACACACTTACATTTAGAGAAGAAGATATCTAGGCCTCGTCCTAATAATCAGGTCAAAGGTGGTGGAGCAGCTCGGACTGCTCGATCAGATCATACCCACCTCTCGAGTCCTCAATGGATTCAACATGGCAAGCGAAACAATGAAGGGAGAAATCATCCTCCCAGTCAATGTATCTGGTACAGTTCAAGAAACCAAGATTCATATTATCGAAGCTGACATGGCATACAATGCCTTATTTGGAAGGCCGTGGATACACAACATGAGGGTGGTACCATCAACCCTTCATCAGATGATGAAGTTCCCAACAAAAGATGGTATAAAAACGGTGTACAGAGAACAACATGTAGCAAAGGAGATATTCGCGGTAAACGACATGGAACCAATATCGACTCTCCCCATCCAGGACGAATCAAGGAACGGGCTGACCCCCCAGGAACGGGTGGTCTGTAAGCATTTGAATGAAGATGACGAAGAAGACTTCCTTACTCTTCGGAACTTCGTTTCCCCAAGTAATTGGATGCAACAAAATCAATGGTCAAAGACCTCAAACAGGCCATCTTGATCAAGTACCTTCCAGATCGGAAGGTATAACTGGGAACGGGGTTAACCCCCGAACTCAAGAAAAAACTCATTCAATTTCTTATTAACAATATTGATTGCTTTGCTTGGTCCCATTTAGACATGACAGGGATCCCTCCAGAAATAATCACCCATCGACTAAGTGTCGATCCTAGATTCAAACCAGTGAAGCAAAAAAAGAGGCCTCAGTCCGAGGTAAAACATGCGTTCATCAAAGACGAGGTAACAAAAGTCCTCAAAATAGGATCAATTAGTTAGATAAAGTATCCCGAATGGTTGGCTAATGTAGTAGTGGTTCCCAAAAAGGAAATAAGTTAAGAGTGTGCATACATTATAAGGACCTGAATAAAGCGTGCCCCAAAGACTCATTCCCATTGCCCAACATCGATCGATTGATTGATGCCACGGCCGACCATGAGACCCTCACTGTTCTTGATGCCTACTCTGGATACAATCAAATTCAAATGAACCCGGAGGATAGAGAAAAAACTTTGTTCATCACGAATTATGGTACACACTGTTATAATGTAATGCCCTTTGAGCTAAAAAATGTAGGAGCTATGTACCAACGCCTAGTTAATAAGATGTTTGAACGTCATATAGGCCAATCTATGGAAGTTTACATTGATGACATGCTAGTTAAGTCCCTGCGCGCAGAGGACCATTTGACTCATTTGTAGGAAACATTTGATATCCTTAGAAGTTACAACATGAATATCAACCCTGAGAAATGTGCCTTCGGGGTAGGATCGAGCAAACTCTTAGGCTTCATGGTATCAAATAGGGGGATCAAGATCAACCCCGACAAAATCAAGGCCATTGAAGAAATCACAATAGTGAACAATGTAAAGTCCGTACAACGGCTGACCGGGCGGTTGGCGGCCTTAGGCCGATTCACCTCAAGATCGTCAGATCAGAGTCATCATTTCTTCTCCTTGCTCAAGAAGAAAAACAGCTTTGAGTGGACTCCCGAATGCCAACATGCTTTAGAGGAATTAAAGCGGTATCTCCCGAGCCCACCTTTGCTCCAATCCTAAAAGGAAGATGAAACATTGTACTTGTATCTGGCCGTATCTGAAGTAGCGGTAAGTGGTGTGTTGGTTTAGGAAGAACAAGGTACGCAATTCCCTGTTTATTACATAAGTCGGACTCTAGGAGATGCTGAAACCAGGTATCCACACTTAGAAAAATTAGCCCTTGCAAAATTAGCCCTTGCATTAATAAGTGCATCTCGGAAATTAAAACCTTATTTTCAATGCTATCATATATGTGTTTTAACAACGTACCGTCTTCAAAACATCTTGTGCAAACCTGAATTATCACGCAAATTGGCCAAATGGGCCATCGAGCTCAGAGGGTATGATATCGAGTACCAACCTCGGATGGCTCAAGTCCCAAATTTTGGTGGACTTCGTGGCCGACTTTATGCCTGCCCTCATGCCCGAGGTAGAGAAAGAACTCTTGATAAAAGCGGTCACATCATCGGGAGTATGGACCCTATGCCTCGAACATGAAAGGGTCCATACTCGGCATCATTCTGAAACCGCCTATGGGCAGCATAATTAGGCAGTCTATAAAGTCTTCAAAATTTACAAATAACGAGGCCGAGTATGAGGCTATGTTTGCAGGTCTCGAGCTGGCCAAGAGCCTAGAGGCAGAAGTCGTCGAAGCAAAATGTGACTCCCTCCTAGTGGTCAACCAAGTAAATGGGAGCTTCGAGGTTCGAGAAGACATGATGCAAAGATACTTAGACAAACTTCAGGACATATTGCATCACTTAAAAGAATGGACTCTTGTCCATATTTCTCGAGATCAGAACAGCGAGGCCGATGCACTCGTGAACCGGGGATCGTCCGTCGAAGAAGATGACATACTCCCGGGGGCTGTTTTATAGTTATTCTTGTCGGTGATTAAAGAAGGCCACGCCGATATCAACTCAACAAGTCTAACATGGGACTGGAGAAATAAATACATCGACTATTTGAGAAATGGGAAGCTGCCCACAGACCCAAAGGAATCAAGGGCCCTTCGAGCCAAAGCAACTCGATTTTCACTCGATGAGAATGGAACATTATATAGAAGGACCTTCGACGGACCTCTAGCAGTATGCTTGGGACCGGGGGACAACGATTATGTACTTCGAGAAATCCACGAGGGTACTTGTGGAAATCATTCTGGTGTCGATTCTTTGGTTCGAAAGATGATCAAATCAGGTTATTATTGGGACACCATGGAGAAGGACACCAAGGAATTCGTTCGAATGTGTGACAAATGCCAAAGGTTCGCGCCAATGGTTCACCAACCCGGTGAACAACTATGTTTAGTCTTATCACCATCGCCATTTATAAATTGGGGGATAGACATCGTTGGTCCCCTACCAATGGCTCCAGGTAAAGCTAGAATTATTCTGTTTATGACTGTCTATTTTTCGAAATAGGTGGAAGCAGAGGTCTTCGAGAAAATTAGAGAAAAAGAAGTCATTGACTTCATCTGGGACCACGTAATATGCCAATTCAGGATCCCTTTTGAGATTACATGTGATAATGGGAATCAGTTCATAGGCAGCAAGGTGAAAAAATTCCTCGAAGATCATAAGACCAAGAGGATCCTATCAACACCCTATCACCCATGTGCGAACGGGCAGGCCGAGTCCACGAACAAGACCATCATCCAAAACTTGAAACGGAGGTTAGAAAATCCAAAGGGAAAATGGAGAGAGGTATTGCCCGAAGTATTATGGGCATAACAAACAACTTCAAAGTCAAGCATAGGAGAGACAGTATTCTCTTTGGTATACGGGTCCAAGGCTTTGATACCGGTTGAGATCGGAGAGCCAAGCGCCAGATTTTGACATGGCACCAAAGAATCAAACAACGAGGCCATGACGATAGCCCTCGAGCTACTAGATGAAAAGTGAGAGGCTATGCTAGCCCGAATGGCCACCCAAAAACAGAGGATAAAGAGATATTATAACAGGAGAACAAACCTCCGATACTGCGGAGTCGGGGACTTAGTTCTAAGAAAATTCACCCCCAACACTTGAAACCCAAATGAAGGGAAGCTAGGCCTAAGCTGGGAAGGATCATACCACATCCTTAGAATAGTAGGCAAAGGGTCCTACAAACTTGGTACCATGGAGGGCGAGCAACTTCCAAGCAATTGGAACATATCGATGCTCAAATGCTATTATTGCTAAGGTATAACCTTCTCCCTTGGCTGTATGTCTCATACTAATTTCTTACAAGTGTTTGATGGGAGACACCGGAATGCCCTTCAACTCAAAGACCTTGGGTCTTAAAGCATACGTTGCACCCTTTTTTCCCTTTGATCGGGTTTTCGAGTTTTATCCCAAATGGGTTTTTTACCGGCAAGCTATTTAACGAGGTAACATCTACATGCTACCTAAGCAGAACTCAACAAGTATTCAAGGATTCTTCTCAATCAGCCTCGAATACTGGGGGCATCCCCCTCGGAGGTTATTTGTTTTAAAAAATTGAGTTACGACTAACGGACCTCGATAGGAAAATATTGTATTGGGCCAAACGGTCAAATGAACCGTGTCCATATAGAATAATCGAGCCTCCGAAGTCAAGAACATGTACACATATATCAAGTAATTAAATAAGCCTCTCTGCTTGTCAAAATGTTTTGTGCATCAAAGAAGTTGATACTTTCACGCAAAACGGCTCAAGGGCCAAAAATCCTCGAACACTCGGGGACTTTCATCGACAGTCAGCTCATCGAGCAATCGAAAACTTGAATTTGTAAGACCTCAATCAGGCAACTTCGAGCTTGTAAGACCTCAGTAAGGCAACATCAAATCTGTAAGACCTCAACGAGGCATGCCCAAACTTATAAGACATTAAAAAGGCATAACCCCGATATTAACGCCAAGACTATATATCTGAACTTTTAAGACCCCTAAAAAGGCATACCCTCGATATAGATGCCGATGTTATCTCACCCAGGGACTAAACGCTACGGCCGAACATAAGGACTACGGTCATATCAAAAGGCTCCGGCCAAATTAACGCGGTTCGGCGATGTCCGACTGCCGCCATAAAACTAAAAGCCTTCAAATACTTCGAAAAGAAATGGTTAATCAGGCTACCCTCAGCATAATAAAAGGAGCTTCGATAATATCAGCTCCGAACAATAAAAGGGCTTCGAAAACAATCAACCTCCAATGAAAAGGCTTCAAAAATTTAGCCTTCAAGTGAACCCCTAAGGTACTTAGCTATCATCACATATCGACTCATAATTAAGGTTCTCGTTTGAGCCGTCGAAGAGTCGGACGAACATAAAATATGCCAAGGCATAATAAAACTTCAAAAGTCTTTAGCCAAAATGAGGTAAAATAATAGCCATATTAAAGGTCGCATCGACCCAATCTAAAAAAGAGCATAAGGGACATTGGGTAAGAGCCTAAGGGCCAGCCTAAAGAGCCTAAGGGCCAATGCGTAAGAGCCTAAGGGCCAGCCTAAAGAGCCTAAGGGCCAATGTGTAAAAGCCTAAGGGCCAGCCTGAAGAACCTAAGGGTCGATCTAAAGAGCCTAAGGGCCAATGTGTTAAAAACTTGAGGGTCAATAGTCCCGGGTCAAAATTTGACTCGAGGATCGAACCCTGAACGGTCAACTGTTATCTATCATTCATCGAGCATAAAAACCTAAGGGGTTTGTATGCTAAGTCCAACACATCAGACTAATCATCGACAAGTAACAAAAATTAAACCACAAAGGTAAAGACAAAGGTAAAATAGAAATTTATACAAAGATGACACAAAAGGATCCTTTCCTATAATGAAAATCGCAAAATATATTTACAAAGCTCCCACGAAAAGCCGAGAAAAAAGAATAAAGCCTAATCCTCGGCCGGAGTCACTTGGTTGGATGAAGTTCCCTTAAGAGCTATGCCCTCGACAACTTCATCCTCAGCACCCTGGTCATCAACGGCTTCTTCCCCCTTGGGGACTTCTTCCTCACCTTTACCGCTCTCTGAGCCACTAGTTGAAGCCTCGTCAGAAGTAAGCGGAGCTGCCAACTCTTTGTCTAAGGCCTTCACCTTCTCGATATTAGTAGACAAATCAATGACCCCTGTAAATACATCCTTGAGAGCCTGTCTTCGAGATCTTAATCGAGCGTGCTCTAGGGCTCGGGTCAGTTCAAGCTCGGCCTCTTTAGATACCTTCTTGGCTCGAGCATTGACAATAATGTATCGGTATGAGGATATGAGCGCATCGGCTTCGGACTTGGATGCAGATAGTGTGGCGACCGAGTCAGCATGGAGATCCTTATACTTACTGCTATCAACCCTTGCATCCTGAAGATGATGCTCAACCAAGGTCAACTTCCCCTGGAGGGTATCTCTCTTAGAGGCTATCTTGTCCACACGTTGCTCGAGTCCGAGAACCTCAATATCCCTGGCTTTGAGCCCTTCTTTCATCAGGACATCTTTATTCTCAAGCTGCAAAAATCAACCCAAAGGTGTTAAATGCTAAAGTCAGAGAAGCACGAAAATAAAGACATACGAACACTGTATTACCTACTCGGCAAGATCGGTCCGCTCTGGAGACACCGTCTCCAAACGAGCCCGAAGGTCACAAAGAACTTCCTCCTTTTGGGTAGAAAGAGCTCAGAACTTGTGAGACTATGATGAAAGCCTCCTACACTCTTTCTCATAGTGGGCCAGCTCAGCTTGGTACTTAGAAAAGGACTGATTGTAAAGCACTATAACTTCAAAGCGTAAAAGAACAAAATTAGGAAGACAAAGATTGGAGCTCAGAACATAGTCGACGAATGATTACCTATTTGCAGAGCCTCTCGGCTTCTTCGAAAATGAGCGAGGAATTAAGATCGGGGCTTTCTCCGACCCTAGTGAAGAATCCTTCAAACACGTCATTCTCCCCGACCGACGCCCCCGCATCGGAAGTCTCTCTATTATTGGCATTCCGTATCTCCTTCATTGGGAATGTCTGACCCGACAGAGAATCACCAACATCAATAAATCTAGCCAGATCGATTGGGGCCTTCTCTTGCGTCTGGAGAACCTCAAAACTGGGCTCCCCTAACTCATCTACCGAATGCCCCTCGACTCAAGAAATGTTTTGGCCATTGACCGGCTCAGGGACATCATTTGACCCACCCTCGAGAGTCTCTTCGGCCCGAGGTGGGATAGCATCAGCAAGTTCTGGTTTAGAAACCTTTGGCTCAATAGCCATCGGCTCAGCAAGATCTGAAGCAATCACGCTTCCTTTTTTCCCTATGTGCTAGCAGGGAGTCATCTTTCTCTTTGCCCTTAGCTCGGGGGCTCTCTGCTACTTCCGAAGTTAAGGCCGCTAAATCAACCTTGGGCTTTTGAACTTTAGCCTTCTTCGGCTTCGGGGACTCAGCTGGAGATTTCTTCTTTCTCTTTTTCTCCTTAGCAGGCTTCGGGGTATCTACTTCCTCGAGCGGGGGTTCCCTCATCAAAATGGCCTCTCTAAGGCCTGCATAAGCACAAAGGGTAAGAGTACTATCAAGAGATATCTTCTCTAAGGAGCTCGAGTATGTCAGAAACAAAAACTCACCATGGTTTTTGGCCTCCCAATGGGTCTTAGCGAGATCACGCCACACGTGCTTCACATATGGGCAGGTCGAATCATGTTGTCGGACCCAGCCCAAGAGATCCTTTATAGCACCGGGGTACCACTCGACTGCTGCATCATCGAAGGGAGTTAATTCGAATGCAAGAAAAGATATCCGATTAGCAAAACATGTTTACCTACGTTTCATATTCCATTCCTCAGGGAATGGCATTTTCTCTGTAGGGATCAAGTACGAGGTCCTGACTTAGACAAAGCGGCTCATCCACCCTCGGTCATTGTCCTCATCAATACTAGCAAAAAAAGGCCTTCGG